ACGCCACCGCTGCGCATTTTTTGTGGCGATAGTCAAGCCTTGCTGGCGAAGGTTATGCCGATGTCATTGTTGCCGCCTCCTGTATCCTTGTGCGCACTTGAGACCATGTCACGCTGGACACCCAAACGCAGATATCATCAGCGTAGGGAGGTATATAGGTCGTCTGTGGCAGCATTTTGGTGAGCCCCACCAGAACCAGGCTGAAAAGAGTCGGGCTCAAAACGCCGCCTTGTGGCACCCCACGACTTGTGAAATGCTTATTCGTAGACCCATTTTCAGTTAGAATGAACATGAATATCTTTGTGAGGTAGCTTCTTACCCATCGAAAGACACGACCTCGCTTCGAGAGCCTTGAGAACAGCCTCATGTGTCACGTTGTCATTGGTACCTTTCACGTCTGAAAACAGAGGTATGGACAGTCGCTTTTTAGCTTTCTGTTGCTAAACAGAGGTCACTAAGTCAATGACGCTATCGATTGAAGACCGACCTCATCAAAAGCCAGTCATAGTATCAGAATAGATGTTATAATGTTCCAGGTACCATTCTATACGTGGAAGCAGCATCATCTCCATGACCTTGCCGACGCAGCTTGCTAGTGCTATAGGCTGGTATGGGGCCATAACTAATGTACACTTTCCGGACTTCAACAAAGGCACCATGTGACTGCACTTCCACTCATCAGGCACCATTCCATTGTGCCAAGATTTATTGAAAATGCCCAGGTGACAGCGCTGCGCCTTCGGGCCTAGGTGACGTAGGGCAGCATAGGTCACTCCATCCGGACCTGGGGACGATGAGCGCCTGCACGTGTTCAGTGCTCCATGAAGTTCTTCATAGTGAATACAACCTCTATTTGCTGATCTCGTGCGACTGCGACGTCCTGTGCCAATAGGTCAATCGGTATAGGGATGTCACCAGCGATATTTGCACAAAATTCACCAGAAACATCAAGCTGTGAGCGATGTTGATGCAGCGCCAGAGCAGCGAAGGGATGACACTGTTGCGGATGCCAGTGAATGCCTCGAAGAGTCCTCATATGCGACACAAAGGCTCTCGAGGGTCTAGCAAGTCACAAAAACTCTTCCATCGTTGTTCCTGCAGTTTGTGCATTCGACGCTGGATTTTTTCCAGAATGCGTCAGGATTCTTTGAGGTCATAGATAGGTTTCGTGCGTCTGTATCGTCTTTCTGCACGCTGGAGGACAACTCGAAGTCGTTCCAACTCTTGGTAGAGTGCGGTACGTCTCGATTCTTGCGAACATATCTTCGTGGAAGTCTCCATCACACAACAAATCACTTCTTCAGTGGATTCTGGTGGTTCGTGCATGCACTTGCTCTACACTGATATCTGATACTCTTCCCAGTCAATACGTTTTGAGTGTCCTGGGGAAGGAGAATCGTGCAAACCTCTGGCTGTTACGTACGTGGGGATATGGTCACTGCCGTGGGTTTCAATATCTGTGAACCATTGGACTTTCGTGATAATACTATGTGACACTAATGTGAAGTCCAGGATACTGCTACAAGTTACTCCTCGGAGCTAAGTATGACTGCCATCGTTCAACACTTGAAGCCCGTGTTCTGAAGGGAGAACAACTAAGTTCGTGCCTTTTCGATCTGTCCTTATGCTTCCCCACAGTGAATGATGGGCGTTAAAGTCACCCATCGATATCCGAGGTGCTCGAGTCATCTGTTCACCTAGTCGACGTGACGGCGCTATATATGCGCCTATCAGCGTAAACGACAAATTCTTTCTAACTTATAGACATACGTAGTGATTTCCATTGTTAGACTCTACTTTTGGCGAACATAAGTGACTTCTTTACAAATGTACACCGCCCCTTGACTTCGCTCAAAGCACGATGATAAAACGAATGATTCATAGCCTGGCAGGCGAGGTATTTTTGAAAAATGGGGTTCACAAATGACGATAATAGGAAAATTATTCTCGAAATGAAACTGTCTAAACTCAGGCATTCTTGACTGTCGACCTCTGGCGTTCCACTGAAATAAGGGAGCACGCTTCACTTTTTCTCGGAAAGGCTCATGTGGTCTATGGCACGCCATTTTGTTACTGAATACCGGCAACAATTGGTTCTAGTGTGTTCAAGACTTGGAGTGCGCATTTATCTGCAAAAATCTGTAGGCTAGCAAAGAGAGTGCGGATAACACTCATGAACAACCTCAATACAGAAAAAACTTACCCCTCTTGGGTGGATAGACTGCCTGCTGGGGCGTAGCCGTTGTTTACTGTCGATGCTGTGGTTCCGTAGACACGTGTACCCGCGGTAAAGCGGGCCAGTCGAAATGAGATGTTCCCTTTTGCACCACAGTGTCTTTCGGTACCTCTGGACGTGACCCGCCTGGTGGCGGGGGTGAGGTAGGTCACTGTGGTCGTGGTGGTGGTGGTGGTGGTGGTGGCGGAGGTGGCGTAATTGAAGGCACATTCGGCACAGGACTATTTTTTTCTTCGAGCACTACCGTCGACAGGAAAACCGTCGTTGAACAACCGCTACCGCTTCCTTTCGTGAGGATCCACCTTTCACCATTTGTCTCAGAATGCTCCTCTCTTTCTAGAGCACTGGGCAATCTTTGGATGGGGTATCGTGGTTTCCGTTGCAATCACTGCATTTTAGACGAGTTGCTTTGCAAGCCTCTGCTTTGTGGGGTCCGGCGCAACGTGGGCATGCTTGCTTGTTGTTACACAAAGCACTAACATGACCCAGTTTTAGACAGTTGTGGCACTGTAGTGCCTTGGGATGAACGGTAGAACAACGTGACAAAAGTGACCAACCTTTACATGTCATGGGATGCAATCACCTCTGAAGGTCACCTTGGTGCAACGAGATTTGTGAAGCCGGCACACTTGCAAAATGTCTGTTGCCTCAGTGGCTGGCTTTATGAGCACAGGAAGGTCTGCGTTTGGTATGGAAACACCAACGTCATAAATGATGCCATTCATCGTGTCACTACCCTGCGGAATCTAAGCACTGAAGTTGATGCCTCCAAGCTTCGTAACAGTTCGCAAGGTATGTAGCGCAGCCGGGTGCTCAACGTCTATGGCCAAGATATTCTTCCGTGGATTGAGTATAATATCACTTATCTCAATAGGCATGATTGCTTCGAGACACACCGATATCACTTGCCTGTTCATGTTTTTCAGGTTGATCAAAGTGTCGACAGGAACAAAAAGCATGGCATGGTGTTTAGAACTGTACGCAGCCTTCACGGTAGAGACGCTGACTGGCGAAGACGCAACGACCATTTTCTTTTAGCTTTACGCCTAACTGTAGCGATGAAATCGTCGTCGCTGTCTTCACTACTCGCCGTGTACAGTTTAGTGCTGTCACTGGTGCTTTCGTGCTTCCGGCTGTTGCCCTTGGTTGAAAGAGACGTTGAAGGTGACGCCAAGTTTGGAATGCATACTGTGGGGTCTGGATCCACTGTGGCCCGCAGGAGATCGATTCTCCTCGAATAATACGTAAAGTCACAAATAAAACACCAAACGAAATAAACAGCGATCGGCAAAAAAAAACATTTTGTTCGTCGTCGTTCCCGCTTACAAAGAGGGTTCAACGCAAACTTACGACGACAAAGAGAGCGATAGAAAACAAAATGATTGCTGCAACACGAGGAGACAGGAAGAGAGTATAGTAGGTCAAGAGAAGAAACTGGTGTTAAGCACATCTTAGTCCAAATCAAGTAGACTAAAAAAATCACAGTGTATCCACGGAGTGAATGATGATGAGTGGGGCGAAGCTTCGAAAGGTATTATCGGCAAACTCGTGAATCGTCCGCTGGCCGCGTCTGCCTGTCTATCTGTCCATCCGTCTGTTCGTTCACCCGTCTGTCTGCCTCTCTGTCCATCCGTCCATCTGTGCCTCTGGCTGTTTGTCCGTATGCCTGGCCGTCCGTTCGGTCGTCTGTCTGTCTGTCTGTCTGTCTGTCTGTCTGTCTGTCTGTCTGTCTGTCTGTCTTTCCTTCCGTCCTTTCGTTCATTTAGTGTATACGCCAATACCCCCATTTCGCATCTTTCTATCATATATTCATCATATACAAGTACAGCCATCCAGCGGCCATTCGAAGGACTGAAACAAGATATGGCTACTACATACAGGAGACTCACGACCTACGCCTTTAAGACCTTCGCGCCTAAACATAAACTTGAGCAGTATATAAACGCGTAGGCAGGATAACGACTGATAGTTAATACTAACAGACTGGATTTTAAGACAAGGTGAACGTGAGAATACGAGAGCAAAGTTATGTGGGCAGGTGAGAGTTTGTTAGTATAACGTGGCAGGAGCAAGCACCAGACCGGGCTTATTGGCAAAATATTCTTAGTGCTGCAGTGGGCCCCGTGAGGTTGGTGGTGTTTCGATGAGTCGGCACGCAATATGAACGTGCATCGTAAATGGCGGTTCTTGGCCGTTATCTCGCCCCGCCGCGGTGGTCTAGTGGCTAAGTTACTCGGCTGCTGACCCGCAGGTGGCGGGATCGAATCCCGGCTGCGGCGGCTGCATTTCTGATGGAGGCAAAAATGTTGTAGGCCCGTGTGCTCAGATTTGGGTGCACGTTAAAGAACCCCAGGTGGTCGAAATTTCCGGAGCCCTCCGCTATGGCGTCTCTCATAATCATATGCTGGTTTTGGGGCTTTAAACCCCACATATCAATCAATAAATTGGCCGTTATCACACATCAGCCGTTCTTCTTTCGCGAGTGGGTATTTAAGATAAAAGAAGGCAAGCGTGCAACAATCACACAGTGCAAGTCGGAACTACAAAAGCGCGAGTATGTAGTACTGTCTGAGGTCACCTTATTTTACATCTTGATGATGCCATATTTATCAGTCTTTATGATAACACACATTCCTTGTATTTGGGCGCCATTCGCCTGCGACACTCGGGCTCTCTGACCATGTGAAGAAATTCTGTCGTGGAACGACATGCACATTCAACCAGATGAACGGAAGTGTTCCTGAAGCATATTAAACGAGCCGAGCTTTATTTTCTCCCAATAGAGCGGTCATTTCTGCGTCGTCAGTCAGTTGGCTGGTGTCATGTGCCACAGGAATGTAGTTGCTGAGGCACGGCCATCCAAGAAACGCGGACTTTCGTTGGTCTTGCTGTCCAACAGTGTAATCTTAGCAACGTCTTCTGCAACACAGGGAGCAAGGAATCAATACTGTGCAGATAATCTTACCATAGCGTGACCGCGCATGAATATTTATACATGCAAAAGCGACCTCGAGCTTTGTGAAGTGCTCATCTGAACGCTTACTCTCGAAGCCTGTCAAGTAACTTCAGGCTACCAACAGAGCGTTTTAAATTTGTTCTGAAATTGCTTTAGAGCAATAGCAAACTCCACACACAGGCATTAAGCTCTGAATATATACTGAAATGAAAATTGAGATTGTAATAAGAACAGTGCTTTTTTTTACCTCAGGGTGCAGTTCTTAAGATTGCTTGAGTAGTTAAAGTGATAATATACAAAGTGAGCTGGGCTTTAAAAAGAGGTCAACCTGTGTTGTAATCACAATATAAAATCACCATAGTCTTCCTGACAAAATTGCACTAGTCAGCTTTCCTTCTTTCATCGCTCATACATCTGTATTTCAATAGATTTGCCATCACTTCTGTCCTCGTTCTGCTGGTATGCGCCTATATGAAAGTTAGTGGTGCAAACGTCCGGTCTGAAGTAACACAGTGACAGCACTTCCTGTGTGCATGGTACGCTAAGTTCTGGATTGGGGCTTTCAATATGGGTCAATATTACATCACATCACTCGTGATTTAGGGGCACTTACAAAAAAAGTTTGTCATAAAGTGTCACCTCTCACAACCTTTCTGGTATGCAACTGTCCTCTATTTAAATAAATGAACTGTTCGCAGATTTTGTGGACTACTCATGGTAATGCATCACCGTGTGCGGTATAGTATTTCCGTATCGAGGTTGAGGCTTGCTGACGTAGGGGATATGCGCTGAATTATGTAGCCAGATTTATAAATAAACCTGCACGGACTGCCCCAAATAGACATCCTGCATTGTTTCGCGGTGCAACTAGAACAGTCAAAGATTTTATTGCTATTTTAAACTGCTGTATTTTAGAAATAGCGAAACACAGAGAACTGCGTCGCTCAAAGAACAGTTGTGCACATTATCTATATGGGCGTGGTCGCGAGCGCTTTCTTGGCAGACATCCGCAAAAAGCTCGCATACGGGCTGTATTTTCAGTGTTTTACGTTTAGGCAAACGTCATCACAATGACCGATCGCCCCCTGGAGCGTCTGTATTGGCTTACACCAACATTTTGTAGACCTGCGCGAAACTGGACCCCATAAGTTTACAACAGCAGCGCAACCATTACTTCGTTTAGCAATACAATCCGTTGTTATCGGAATCATTGCTTGGCCATTGTGAGGAGCGGTGATTTTTTTTTTTTTGTCTCCAGGTTTCCATGCTCTCCCGAACTTCTGGCTCATTTGCAAATAAGACAAAATTTTAGAATGATGCGTAGAGTTCCGCAGTGAAGGCACTGTATAGAGCGATAGCTCTGCTCCCATTACAGATCTAGGATACGACTTGCACATGCTATTGACTTTGAAGCTCGAAGTCACGGTGATGTGCTGGGTCCATTTGTTTGCCTCTTTCACACACTCCTCTCCTGTCGGAGAGCCACGAGGCGGCGTGCGTGCCGACGCCGGAGGCTACGACCTCGTGACCTCCGGCGTCGGCGCGTCGGCTCAGTGGTCCCGTGGCTAAGGTACTCGGCTGCTGACCCGCAGGTCGCGGGATCGAATCCCGGCTGCGGCGGCTGCCTATACAATGGAGGCGAAAATGCTGTAGGCCCGTGTGCTCCGATTTGGGGCATGTTAAAGAACCCCACTTAGTACAAATTTCCGGAGCCCTCCACTATGGCGTCTTCCATAATGGTATGGTGGTTTTGGGACGTTAAACCTCATGTTTTGGGACGTTAAACCTCATGTATCAAGTGATTATCAAGCCAGTTTTGGCAATGCGAATAGCAGAGGGACCCGCTCCGCTTATGATAGGCGTAGCTGGGTTATTTCCTACCCGAGTCACTTATGAACTTGCAGTTCGCTTGCCGTGTTTATGGCCAACCAAAATTTGTCAGCATATATAGTTCATTTACTGACCATAACTTTCACTAGTAACCCGTTTTGTCTTTCATTAATAACGCGTTTTTCGATGACTTGAAGTAGTTGGGTGACGGAGGCAATCATACGTTGGGTGATTCAACAAGTAACGTTAATCACTTTCTGGCAAAAGTGCTCCACCTTGGTGACAACAATAAAAAAGTGAACACGTGCTTGCGTTCTTAGTTACGCATATTTTCGTGCTACCAAAATAATTAGTTGTTTCTTCTAATCTCCTTCGTATTTCACTTAGCACACATAAATTCAATAAATTCACGCTTCTTTTCAACTTCTTTTGTGATGATGATTGGCTTGTTAGCTAGGTACTATCTAGCGAATTTCGCAAAAAGACAACGTGCAGCTGTTCCTGCCGTAAGGGGGCACAGATGCGCGGGACACAGCCACGGCTTGCGTAATACGGCAGCTGCGGCTGTCGCACTATAAGGTTTGTTTTACACAATCCAACCAAGGCATTCCTTCGGCTGAGAACAACACTGCGTCCTCACCGTATAGCTTTTTTATAGTCGCTGCATCGACGCTACGAGGAGAGCCTGCAAAAAAAAAACAAATTTATAGTAGTCATAAACCTGAAAAACACACATATTGGTCCGTTTCGGGGGAAGCTTCTTAGCAGTGGGTCGTTATCTCGTAGTATGTTGTATTAGCCACTCCTAGTTAGTTTTAAGAACTGCTCACTAGATGGCGTTGTGTGTATATGGCCTTCGAACTAATAGTGCTAGATGGCATTAGTGGTTTTCGTATAGTTCACACTGAAAGAGGATAAATGGTGCTATTGTGAGAAAAATTCGTAGCAAACTCATGGAGTGAATGATGATGAGTGGGGCGAAGCGTCGTTCATCCGTCCGTTCGATGTGTGCGCTATAGTGTGGCAAGAGCGGACGGGATGGACAGGCGAGCCATGGACGGATGCTTCGCCCCACTCATCAACATTCACTCCGTGGATACACTGTGAATTTTTCAGAGGAGCGCTAAACGCGGATATCGGGAAGTTCGCGGCCTGTAAAAAACTATTGCCCCAATATAAATGAGGAAAACAGCTTCCACGTTCGTAATGTCAGTTACGTAATTTTGTGGGAGGCTTCGGTTATAGACACCCAGAATGATTTTTTTTTTACTATTCCTGCATAATAAACCTTATCAAAGAAAATTGAGGTGTTTTACGTGTTAAAGTCAAAACACGATACGAAGCATGCTGCAGGGGAGGACTCCAGGTTCTTTTTTTTAGGCTGACTTCCTTTTACGTGCACCGAAATATAAATAAAGCTGACAAAAATCTACATATTGTGTACCGATGTGCTAGGAACTACGCACTGCCGTGGTACCACGCAATGGTTTCTGTTCGCACTGCTGAAAAAAAGCCGGCGAGTCAGCATCGAGAGACCTAAGCAGCTGTCGATATGGTAAGAAAATATCTTTAAGTCTTGTTTTCGTGCAAGAAGTCCCACCCAATCACGAGCTTTATTTTCTGAAGCCATGTTTTCTTGAGCTATTTCATTTTGTAGAGTCAGTCGACAATAATTGTGAATTAGTGGAACTTTATTGCATCTGGTTGGCTTAAAAGAACATGAGATTCAGTACGGATGGCATGTTTTCTCTATAAAAACTAGGCCCAATTTTCGCTACCTACCTCACTCCCCACATCTTTCTCGCGAATGTTTAAGCGCACTGACAACATTGTACACTATCACGGAACTAATATCTTCACGTGGTGTGTGAAAATGTAGCTCTGCTGGTGAAAGCATGTTCGAGGGACTTTATTGAGACTAGTGCTCAAGCAAGAAAACATTTTTTAATCAGCCCGGTTCACATGTGTAATTTCTCTACATTCTTAGAATCAACAACAAATATATATTTTGTGACCACTGTATTCGCAATTCGAGCGTCTAATTAGGATTTTGTACTTCGATGTTTGTAGAATACATGAAATACTTCTCCGTGAAACAATATTTTTCTCACAATGTCGTCAAGTGCAACAGATGTGAAGCTACCAGCCCATATATCTAAATTGTTGTTTTTCCAGTAATGCGTTGCACGAAATGGCAACACCCAAGTTAAATGCAGAGCACTTCAGGGGCTCGGGTTGTTGTGATACGCCGCTTGGCGTTGGACAGGCGAAACCGTCTATAACATAGCCGTCATCTAAACGTTCATCAGTGATAATTATTCCCTAATGCTCTTTCAATGTGGAACAAGTTAACTCAGGAGGTCGTTAATGCAGACACGACACAATTTTTCGCCCACCTCGTCAATGACCTAACACTTGATTTTTAATATGCAATATAATATGTTCCTCATTAGTTCTCAGATTTTTTTTGTATTTCGGTATGAATGCCGTTATTGCTATGTATTATTTATATTTTCCATGATGTTGATAATTTCTTATTTTCGTACATAGTATTGTATTTTCTTATATTTTTATATTCTGTTTTGTCACTGACATTTGTTACCCACTCCTTCTTGGGCCCGAACAAGGTCTGCAGTGTTTGTAAATAAATAAATAAACAAATAATAATAAATAAATAAATAAATAGTCATCATGCAACAGCCACGTATGGTACAGCATACTAAGCAGCTGGAATCGGGAAGTCAACAGGGAGGAGCATACATGTGAGGATGAGGAGAATGAGAAACGGGAATGCAGGAGAGGAGAGAAACGCATTTCTGTAGTGTGGCAAGAAGGTGCGAAGAGAAACTGATATTGATGAAAGATGGTAAGGTGATTGTAAATCATGACACACTCACTTATTAAAGCACTGGGAAAGAGAAGTGAGATCGAAAGCGAGTGATGAGAAAGTGGTGATGGATTTATTGAGGGGGAAAGAGGGCTTCACTACATGCTAAATTAAGGTTTTATTTTCCGTCATGAGCGCCAACAGATTTGCACGTATGGAACTCGAACGCCAGTGCCTGCTTCGACCTTCAAAGCAAGCGCCACTGAAGCGCAAGCGAAACATTGCTCCGCAATTGCTTCAGCCATTACGTTTCGCGCAACTACATACAATTTTTCGTCAGGGCGATAATTTCTTCAAATCGAGAAACTGTACCATTCATCCTATGAAAACATATCTTCGTTTAATGTATAATGTTTAATGTATAATGTACAGTAGTTATTTTACTGCGATAATTTACGGTAGTGCTCATCATGAACAACGATTACACAGAACGTACAGAAGCTTATTTTACCAAATATTGTGTGGTATCCGCCTTGTTTCTGATGCCTCTTGTCATAAATGGTGTTTAGTGCTTCTCTACAAAACAGCGGGACGAATTCGTGTGCGTAGCAAAGGTGCAGACAATATGTATACAAGGTGGATCTACTTTTTCTTCTATTCCCACGTATTGATCGAGTCATGTTTTGCCTAATCATGTTTCTCAAATTACGTGCGAAGCTTTCAGTTTTGGCTCAAAACAAAGTATGTCTTTTATATAACGGCCAACTTGATGAAAGGTTAGCACACATTCAATACAGATATCATAGTGGCACAGTTTCTGTACTCACGTGTATACCAAGGTGCATTGTAATGGACTCCCCAGAGGCCATAGGAGAAATCTTTAGCGAGGAGAGACTTCATCAAGGTCACGTACCTGATGAGAAGACACGAAACATTATTGTTTAGGATGGTCACCATTGCATATTGAAAACCGTAAAGCTTCACGAAAAGTTCTTTCAGGACCTTCCGTAAAAAACTTTTTATGACGTCCTAGGACTGCCTCAGTTGTGAGCAATCATTCGGACCGCGTCCGTCACAGAACATAGGTGGTGTCTTCTAAAGATTGCAGCGTTATGTAGAAGGCCCAACTTGTGCAAGTTGTTTGATTACCATAAAAATGTTGCTTTCCCCCATAGGATCCGCGTGTTTCGGCGTCCCGCCTTTCATAGAGTTGTGTCACCAACCAGCGCCTCCTCTATTTTAGAGGAGGTGCTTCCCCACCTAAAACAGATGGTTCGCAAGTAAGTGTGTTATTCAACTAAATCACGTGTTCGAAACATGGCCAAAGTGACACTCCGTGAAACATGCTTCGTAAAAAGAGGCGGTTGAACGGAGCGGTTGCCAGCCAGGTCAGCTAAGCCAACACCACGTGTGGAAGCAAAGCCACCACCAACCACCACACTCAACCAAATACATGTCTCAAAGTCATCATTGCTTTTTGACGTGCATCCAGTCATAACGCATATTTGGGAAACGATACTTTTCATGCAAATAAAGTGCATAGCACTCCGCTAAATAACGATATTATACGTGATGAGAAAACCCAGATTTATTAACCAGGCCTTTCTTTGAGTGAATCCTAAAATTACTAAGGGCACGTAAATACAATTAACAGCACTGAAAACAACTTCACTCCAGAAGTTTACCTTGGCCGGTCCTCTTGCAACACACATGTAAAACCAGATCTGTCCCAGATAATCTCCATGGGTCCGGCACACTCGCTGTAACATGAATATCATTCATTGTAATTCATGCGTTTATTCATTCGAATGCATGCATTATCGGCCTTCTTTGGACACCTAAAAACGCAGGCTTAACCACGTTTGCAACGCAACACAAAGATTTACTTTTCAAAATTCCGGTCAAGAAACAATGCATGTCAATTTTTTGTACTGCCGGTAAGGATGCTACGCGACGCTTCGTGGTTTTTGAGCAAACACAAGTGAGGTGACGTCAAAAAAGGACACTCAAAACAATAGGATATTGCAAACGTTAAATGTGTTCATTGCAAACTCATCGCTTTGCTGGTATTTTCTCAAAATAAGGCAGAAAAAGGTGTAAAAGTGGATACAGGACAAGACAGGGCTAAAAAGACATTACAGTTTTTTTTAAATACAGGTTCTAGAATACACAATAGATTGACGGGTAATTTAAGACCACAATATTATGAAGTGTACTTCATTTACTACCTAAATGTAATTGATATGTGCGGGTTCGATGTCCCAAAACCACCATATGATTACGAGAGACGCTGTAGTGGAGCACTCAGGAAATTTCAACCACCTGGGGTTCTTTGACGTGCACCCATATCTGAGCACACGGGTTTACAGCATTTTCGCCTCCATCGAAAATGCAGCCGCGACAGCTGCGATTTCATCCCAGGACCTGCGGGTCAGCATCCGAGTACCTTAGCCACTAGACCACCGTGGTGGGGCACTATCTAAATGTAGGTGGTGCAGAACATGAGGCGGCCATTAATCTTCGAAGTTAGCCGTCTTCTTTCGCTGTGTTACCGACATCACTGCTTAGTATCGATTCAATCTTTCAGACCTTTCTAGTGTGTCATTCCCCGGTACCAACTAGAACGTGTTTTCTAATACTTGATTCATGCTCAAGAAATATTAAGGACGCAACCCACGTAACCGGAAGAAAGAGACAGGATATACCGTCAATTTGCACTGACTATATTTTAAGAAAGGCTCCTTTTTATACGCATGCAGACAAGTGCGCAATTACGGTTGTGCATGGCAATGCTGAACAATCTCACGCTTACAACATCATTACACAAAAAGTTTTAAAAAATTGTGATTTTGTTTTACGCAGGATAGCAGACGTGTTACTAATGTATACATCTGGTTTTACGTTGATAAAATATGCCCGGTGCCAGAGTATTTTCTCTCTTTCCATGGATTCGAATATTTCCAAGGTCCAGCCCACATATGCAGGATTCGCAGTGCGTAGGTGGTCACTGCGAATCCTGCATATGTGTGGTTATTTTAATCGAAAATACCCTGCGATGACGCAGCGTCTAGTCTGGCCTATATAAACTCTGCTTCATGTGAGCGGGCTAAACCTTGATTGATTGATATGTGGGGTTTAACGTCCCAAAACCACTATATGATTATGAACCATGCACCCTGCGCAAGGTACTAACGGCTTCGAATGCTTTTCATCACAAAGCGTTAGTTCTTGCGGCACTGTGGTGCGTGGATAGAGTTCGGCCAACCTCCATGAGGCTGAAAAAAAATATGTACCTTGTACCTAGAAAGTGCAGAAAGTGCTGTTTTTAGGGTGAGTTTGAAAGTCACACTTGGAAAGGTAGCGCCAACGGACACGGACAAAAAAAAAGGCACAGTGACAAACAGACAACAGCACTTTTAGCAACAAGTTTGTTAATAAAAATCCACCTTTGATACATACAGCTTCCGTTTTTGTCCACGTGAAAATTTCAGTGCACTGATGAATTCAAGAACACCATCTCTTTTTCTGACAGCACTATCAACGGTGTGTTGACACATTTCTCTTCTTTGATATATATTCAATCATTTCGCGAGTCCACTTTTCTTTGAGGCAACTGATTATGATACATTTTGGACTCATAGGTGAACCACTACAGTCATCGCAATGTGTGGACAGGTGCCCATGTCTCTTCTGCCAAAGTGTGACCTTTTGTTTGATAGTTGGCGTACGTGGTGTAATAATATACTAATTGTTTAGGTTCAACGTCCGAAAACCAAGGGTATATTTATTAGAGGCCCGACACTGAAGATTTCCAAAAACGTCGACCATCTGCTTTTCTTTAACAACCGCCTTAATCTAAACATATCAGCCTCAAACACTTTTGCCTCCATCGAAAATGTGCCCACTCTGTCTGAGATTCGATGAGGATTTTGTTCCGTCCTCGACCCGTGTTTTCCTTTCTTTTAGCCACGCCATGGTGGTATAGTGACTAAGGCACTCGGCTGCTGACCCTCAGGTTGAGGGAATAAATCCCGGCTGCGGCAGCTGCATTTTGATGGAGGCGAAAATGCTGAAGGCCCGTGTGCTAAGATTTGGGTGCTCGTTAGACAACCCCAGGTGGTCGAACTTCCGGAGCCATGCACTATACGGCGTCTCTCATCATGATATGGTGGTTTTGAGACGTTAAACCTCACATATCAATCAATCAGTATTTTCTTTCTTGTATTCGGGTTTGTACGCCTCAGCTTTTTTTTTAATTAATGCTGTCTAGTGCTTTTTTTAAAGATGAGCGTAAGAACGCTTTAAAATTTAGTACACGCTGTCGTGCGTTTTGCAACCCCCCCCCCCCCCCAAAAAAAAAGCAGCCAGAATACTTCCGTTTGACGCCCCATTTGGGAGAATCACGTGACCTGAAAATAAGCATCCCTCATGACGTCACTAATGCAGCGGAACATCAATGTAGACTATGCCACTGACAGTAGTAATGCTTGTCATTTCAATGACAACTGGGGTACACCTCGGTAAAGGTTACTGGCCCCGAGTGACACTGGTCGAAGAATCGCAGGTAAGATAGCTGCATTTCTGCAGTGACAGGATGAACCTATCCAATTGATTCTAAATGCGGCCAGAGTGAAGTCACACGCGACGTTTCATTCAGTGTCACTTGATTCCCCTGTATGTTACGATGACCTGTACCGCTGTGCGTTTAGCACTACAAAACAATGGCCCCGTATCTGCATGTTTCACTGCAAACGTCGTCTCTTGCATGTGGACAGAGTGAACAAAGCGTTCTTTTTTTGTGTTCTGTGCGAAAAAATTGTGAATTGTATTCTGAAAGCGCTGCGTTAGAGAATATCGATCCTTGCCGCGAAGGCGAACGACCGCATCGAGGCACGTTAGACACGAGTGCTACGAAGGAAACGAAGGAAGGCGTGCACTCCCACAGAGAAAGGTGCGTGCCTTTCTCGGAGGCGATAAGGTGTAGAACTCAAACAGACGGGCAGGTGCCACCGTGTCGTCTTAGCAAAACGTTGGAAACACTTGTCCTTTTTGAGCACGGCATTGCACTGTCAGCGCAGCGTGATAAACGGTATGGTCTTTAGAATTGCTTATGTATGCCTTCTCTAGTATAAAGCCACACACAAAATAATGACGTGTTCTTATGGTGCCTCCGATTTGCGACATAATTGTTTTAATTGACAATCGCACAAATATGAACGCTGAAACTTGACGAATATTGGTGGGCGCTGCGGATGGGGTTGGCCGTTTGGCGTATCGCTTGATGCCGTTTGGAATATCGTTATGGTGGACAAACAGACAAAGGTACAGACAGACAGACAGACCGACAGACAGACAGACAGACAGACAGACAGACAGACAGACAGACAGACAGACAGACAGATCAAAACTTTTTGCGCCGAAGTACCCCAAGAAAGACTACCGTCTTTAAACACCGTCACGCCACCTCGTATGTGCCACAGGCTAGAAATAAATGATCACGTTGATATATTCACCTTTTGAAGTCAAAAATATTACAAATGAATATTCTGATTGTCTTGTCAGGCGTCTGCAAAAGAAGATAGTGTTCGATTCATGTCATTACATGTTACAAGTGATGTATGTCATGTCATAATGTGTAATTCATGTTTATCGTGGCCACCATTCATAAGATACATATCCCGATTTGAACCGAGGTAACGAAGCCACCAACACCGCATCGCAATCGCGTCTTACCATTTGGTGCACAACATGCATTTCAAGAAGTTCTGGTTACGTAGCTCACTTTCAATTGAGGTCTTCTCAGTTATATGCGCATATTGTTGGCATGTTGTGCGAGAGAGCTCGTATAAGGGGAAGGGAAAAGGAGACAACAAAGAGAGCAGAGATATTACCCCGGTGCGTGTGCGGTTGGCTGTACTCTACGTTGGGTGAATGCGAAAGGCGAGTGAAGAGTGCGGAATTGAGTTAGATGAGAGCATGAAATGGAATGGGAAAACTTTTTTTCTTTTTCTGCTCCTGAAACGACGACAGTGTTGTGCTTCAGGGTACTCTAGGTCCACGCTACGGAGCACGCGTAAAGCTTGGCTCTGAGACGACTCCACGTTCTAATGCTTTGATGGCCTGTCTGTAGTCACTGCAGACTGCTTCCCGTTTGCTTTCGAGCACACCTATGGCTATAGTTACTGGCTCCACGACAACTCGGTGCGGATCGTGCTGGAGTGAAGAATCTGCTTTGCGGATGGGACCGCTACCGTGGCGAAGGCTCCGCTGTTGCGATAGGCAGCGGCGTCTATACGAAGGAGACGTCGCACACTTTCATGTCTACTGCGCTTGAGAAAGGTGGTTGATTAGTTGTATTCGGTGTGTACATTTCACGGAATGGAAGTGATCGTGACAAGGTCGCGAATTTCATGGGAAATCAGTGTTAACTCTGGGGGATTCATGGCCGTCGAGGACAAGCCTAGCTCGCGCAGAATATGGCGGCCCACCTTGGTGGTCGTGAGTCTGGTCAATTGCACTCGTCTTCGAGCCTCGGCGACCTCTCCTGGCGCGTTGCGTATGCCAAACTCGACGAGTTTCTGCATCGCAGTGATGATAGTGAGGACGAGTGCTCATTTGATTACCTTTCAAATAAGGGTATTGCGTTGATCGCACTCATTATGTAACCATTTGTGTACGGTGGTGACGTAGGTAAAGTGGCACAAAACAGACGCATGTATGAGACGCAGCAGGTTGTTTTCTTTGAGGCCAGGGTGCTGGTTGGCTACTCTACGTACGAGTCGTATGGCGTTCTTGGTCTTAGTCTTGAGCTTCTATATCATTTGGTTGTTGGTTCCACGGGACTCGATGATCATGCCCAAGACCCTGTTGGCGTCCACCCTGAGGACTGTATGACCATCTCTGGTATTGCAGGTGATGTTCCTTTCGGCCGGGGGTTTTCTCCCTTTGGGTTTGGCAATCGCGACGTTCTAGCAAGTATATCAACAGCTCCGACTTTGCGGCTGAGCCCTTGCGACAGCTATGTTTGAGGGAAGAGTCGGCGGATTCAGAGGCCACCTGTAGGGTGGACTTAATGAAGCCATCTGACCCTGTGTAGCACCATTATCGTTACGTTGTCCACAAAGATCGTTTGGTTTAGCCCGTCGATTTACGACAGTCGTTCTGAGAGCCCCATCATCACGAGGTTGAAAATCGTCAGCGAGAGGACGAATTCCTGAAGGGTGCTCCACTTTCCGAGCTCCACTTCTTCCGACACCAGGTTTTCCACGCGGAGAACGGCTCTGCGTCGAGTGAGAAAAGTGCAGCCAAAATATAATAACCGACGCACCAGGACGAGGTCTCCAATCACCTTCAAAATGAACGAGTGCACGCGTTACGGTATCGAAGGCCGTTTCCAAATTGAGGCCGAGTATTGCACGAGTGTTTCGAGTGTTTCCTCTATCGAGAATTCTATGCCTTAGAAGTAGCATGACGCCATGGACAAATAGTCCTGGTCGGATTGATATGATTGATATGTGAAGTTTAACGTCCCGAAACCACCATATGATTAAGACAGATGCCGTAGTGGAAGGGCTCCGGAAATTTCGACCGCCTGGCGTTCTTTAACGTGCACCCAAATCGGAGCGCATGGGCCTACAGCAGTCTTGGTCAGAGGCCAATCATGTGGTGCGGCAGGCAGTCGTTATCTTCGCAGTACAGACCAATCCTACGACGACATGCTCAGCCACCTTGCCCACGCACAACGTGAGCCATATGGGGCGTATGTAATCTACCCTTGGCGCCTTCCCTGTTTGAGAATCAGGAACGTGTGAGGGAGTTTCCAAGCATTGGGTAGCTCACCCTTTTCCATATTTCTTTGGTGATGTCGGTGAAATAAGTGACGTAGGGGTCGGCCAGGTTGCGTAGGAGCTTGTTTACGATGTCATCGTGGCCAGGAGTGCAATGCCCATTAAGCAAGTGCAGAGCTCGGCGCGCTTGTTTAGTGGTAAATTCGGCGTCTAAGTGGGCATTGTCACTACCTTAACATCGCCCGAGGTAAGCGTGAGACACTTCTGGCCGAGTTTCTTTACTGGCGTCCTCCGTTAGTATGGTTCCGTTTCGCTTGATAGAATATCTTCGCGAATGAATGACGCTGATTTTTGCTGGTGTTGGTTTCATTGATGAGGTGTTTGACCAGGTTCGAAGTTTTGCCTTTACGAATCTGACCGTCAATCAGGTTACAAACCTCGTCCCACTTCTGTTTTGAAAGGGTGCGGCATTGATTCACTGTGTTTCCTGTTTAGCTGAGATATGCGTCAGCGTAACCTCTGATTAAGACGCCGGCCCTTCCAGCAGGCCAGCCGAGACTTTTTGGCCTTGAGCAGAAAAGAAGGAATTCAAGAATAAATGCGCTCTAACGTGTACGCGGACGTAACAGTACCCATTTACAATAGTCATAGGTGTTCACATAGGGTTGTAGTCCCCCAGAATGCCAGGCCTGAGCAAGAGACATTGAACAGACCCCCCCCCCCCGAAAGCTGGAAGAGTAGACTTGCTAAAGCCCGCTCTGAACTCCATTCAGGCAACTACAACAAATACACTCACAAGGTGTGCACTACACCGTGACTCATCATAGCTTTGTGAAGTAGGAAAGCAGTCACTATGCTAATATTCGTTATTACGTAGAGAGGCAACGCAACTGCAATACATCTGTAAAGCATCATATAGAAATTGTCGATGCTGGGGCAAACGACTAAGCACTGTGGCTGAGCTCTGTGAAATGAGTCGGTACCTATCTGCCAGTCGTTACGTATTTGAAATTGTATGACGCTTGGTAAACATTAGGTAGATATCCGCCCGACATTCAACTCCGCGAAAAAGTTGGCCGCAGAAGGCAATTTATCATGGAATATCATCAATAATAATGTCTCAGGTTTTACTAGCCGAAACCGCGATTTAAATATGAGGCATGCCATAGAGAACGGCTGCGGATATTTTGACCATGTGGTGTTCTTGAACGTGTGCGGACATATCAAAGTGCCCCCGTTACTGGAATTTCGCCTCCGTCAAATAACATCGCGGCGGGGTTCGAACCCACAACGTTCGTGTCGCTGCTGAGCGTCGTAACCACATCACCACGGTAGACACACGTTACGCATCCGACACTAAGATAACATTGATAACAATTGGGTAAAAAAAACACAAATATAGCGAGAGCGTAAAGAATGCGTTTGGCAGATTTGTTATCGTGGTTAACAGCGCGAAACACCCGGACAGGAGCGATAGAAGGACACGGTACAGCGCTGACTTTCAACTGAAATTTTTATTGAAAACACGAGAATATATATATAGACAGAACAGAAGACCTCGTGACCAAACCAGCCCCCTCAATCGATAAAATTATACACGGCGACAAGGCTTTGTCATGTGCACGCAATCTTGCCACAAAATAACACATACTTCAAACTATAAGATTCCAATGTCGCCAAGAAAACCGGGCATGAGCAGACGAACGAACTTTAGCCACTATCTAACAAAGATAATTCATTACCAAGTAAGGCGATAGACGGCTGGCTAACGCATTGAGACCCTTTCTTATTTATAAAAAATGCGTTAGCCAGCCGTCTATCGCCTTACTTGGTAATGAATTATCTTTGTTAGATAGTGGCTAAAGTTCGTTCGTCTGCTCATGCCCGGTTTTCTTGGCGACATTGGAATCTTATAGTTTGAAGTATGTGTTATTTTGTGGCAAGATTGCGTGCACATGACAAAGCCTTGTCGCCGTGTATAATTTTATCGATTGAGGGGGCTGGTTTGGTCACGAGGTCTTCTGTTCTGTCTATATATATATTCTCGTGTTTTCAATAAAAATTTCAGTTGAAAGTCAGCGCTGTACCGTGTCCTTCTATCGCTCCTGTCCGGGTGTTTCGCGCTGTTAACCACGATGAATGCTCACCAACTAGCCCAGTTTTCCATCTTGCTCAGATTTGTTAACTCGCCATGAGTCTCAGGATAGATACGGTAGTGAGGAAATCCTTGTTACGGCAAGCTTTGTTGGTGTTTTTTGTTACCACCATATTAAGAGGTACAACTTCCTTTAGCAGCTGAAACAAAAGTGACACGCGTTTGGCTTACCTGAAGAATCTTGCACTTGATCACAGGACAGACGGACTCCACAACTTGGAGATCATTCTCATGAAAGTACTCGTGCACGCACTCTTCTACGAACTCAACGCCGACAACACGGTGGCCCATGTCACGAAACCTGAGAACGAAGAGAATCACCAGGTTCCACAGGTCTAATTTCGCTTCCATCAACCACATGTGTCTATAGTGTAAGTATTTATTGTTATGTTATTGCGCGCTGCTTAACTACGAGCACTTGGAATAAAGCAATGCGCAACAATGTAACAATGACAAGCTACCAACTAGCCCGAGAATGTACCCTTCTAGAGACACATTTCCCTAAATACAACGGCATCCCTTGTAGGTCGTATCGAGCCCTGACGAACTATCTGGGAGGGGGGGGGGGGGACTATTTCCTTTAAGAAAAACACTCCAGGCTTCTCCGCTCTGTAATGTGGGCGACCAGCAGAAAACATTGCTGGCGAGTGCGTGAGCCTTTGCCGGGAATCTTCTACAAGAGGAGAGAGAAAGGGTAAAAAATCAAACACATCTCTCCAGAGGGTACCCTTAGTAGTATGCGAAGCAGGAATGAGTCTATTGAAAAGTTCTTTTTAAATCATTATTTATTTTCATCATCATTCACGGGCCATTCAGTTTTCATATATACTTTTAAGCTCTCAAAAACGCTTCCCCTTGAGTATAACGGCCTTGTGGTTCATAAATTATAGCGTTAATGACTCTTGATGCATCGGCTGCAGCTCAAAGTTTGAGAATGCAATGTCAAAGCACGCTTCCCTGATAGTTGTGACGCTTGCAATTGTACGAAATGCATCAGAGAGCGTAACGGGCCACCATGTGTTATACTAGCCAGTTGTCATTCACGATTTCCACGTCTAAGTCCCCGCTATGGACCGAGGGTTCTTTTTGTATTGATTTTCATTATTGCATAGCCCGCGAAACACGGAAGCGCTGGCAAGCGGACCCGGATGCGGCTCGGGCGCGCAATCGCCGCAGCCGCTGCCGAGCGAGTGCTGGTAGAGAAAGCGAGCGTTTTGTACCGCTGCGCCTCTAGCGAGCGCGCTTAGCACCAGCGGTCACGCCGGGGCGACAAGCTCGTTCATAAGCTGCTTCACACCTAAAATCTTTTATTCGCGCAAATATAAGTGATCTTCTTAGTTTGGTGGACCCCTCAGTTCAGAGCCCCATTGGCTCGGTACACACCACGTTCCCGCTGAATCAGCCGGCGCTGTTCTAGCGGCTCTGAGCAGGTCAGCGCTGTCTTCCAAGAGGAAGGTGAGGGCGAAGAGATAGGGGAGTAGCTCACGGGGTGTGGAGATTTTCAGCTGCTCTGATCAACTGGGCATTTCCCTCTACGGTATAGGGGCAGTATGAAGGATACTGAGTGGAATGAAACACGTGTAGTGTAAAAATACAGTAAACAGAAGAAGTATGAAGCACTCACTATGCGACCTCTTCCTCTCGCTTGATTGATTTGTATTGTGGCAGGCACAACGTTTGTAATGTGGTAGAGTTTCAGTGTAGCTCAAGGAGGTCATGACATGATCTCTCAGCAATTTCTGGTTTTCAGCGAAAAACCAAAATAGACGGTCAGTAGTTCGTATACGTATGTGAAATACGCTATGGACGAGGATATTTCGGTATGTACCAAGCCCTGCGAATTGCCGGCCAAGAGCCAGACCACAGCCACGGCCACTGGATGAAATAACGCCACGGCAAGTGACCGCCATTTCACCATGGTGTGTGTGTGACGTCATGTGCTGCACGGAGTGAAGTTGTCATCTTCTGTAAAGGTTTAAGCCACTAAAATCGTTCAATTAGAATATCAACCAGAATAAAGCTGAAATGATAACCATACAACAAGATTATTAGCCCCAACACGGACGCTTGAGCAGCAAGCTGCTTCTTACGTGATGGCTGGCGCTATGGCGTGCGGGTACTGCCAGCCACCCGCTAACCATGACGTAAAAAGCAGCTTGCTGTGCCAGCGTTGGCAGTCTCTGAGGCCGCTGGCGTCTGTACTAACTGCACGACCAAATCAGCTGAAGTTTCGTCACAGTGCTTGAGGACGCACAAAGTTTAACCTACATAACATGGCTTACGTTTGAAAATTGCACTCATGACCCATCTAGTGGTTCGGTTTACCAGCTCCTCCGGAGGCACCCGGTTGGTCAGGTTTCCCGCTAGCCGATTAGCGCGTACATTGCCATGGAGACAGGTATGCCCAGGTGTCCAAATGGCATGCATCCTGTTTAACTATGCGGTGTGTATTGATGGCAGGATACGTTATGTGCAGTGCAATGCCATTCTATTAAAAAGCATTCTGCGGGCATTTTGTGAGTCGGTAAGCACGGTGAATAGTTCATCTCGTGCCGGTGTTCCCGGGGTGCGTGTGATATATACCAAGAGCAATAGCGGCTTCATCCGCCGTGCCACTGATTTCAGTGTTAACCGTAGCGAAAAACTGCACAGAGTCGGCACTTGGATCAATGAATTTTTCGGACGCGTGAAACTGGCTTACACGAGAATATACAACAATCTTTTTTGTCAGGCAAGGCCTTATTCCCTGATTTCCGTTTGTCAAACGATATTAAGAGAGTCGGAAAGCGCGATTCTGTGGGCAAGACGTGTTGGCAAATTTCTTGACTTCACCATCAATGCTTCTTCGCTGACTTCACTTATTATCATTTGCGAAGTGTGCCTCTTAAATCTCGAACTTTTTATTTAGCTGATCCCCCTCCGTATATTCCAATCAATTTTAACTATATAGAACAGAAAGTGAGTGTTAACAGTACGGCACGCCTTCACACCACGGGTCTCATCAAAAGCTATGCGCAGGCCCCGTCGCTGTGGTCTAGTGGCTAAGGTACTCGGTTGCGGACCGCAGGTCGCGGTATGGAATCGCGTATGCAGTGGCTGCATTTTCTATGGGGGCTCAAATGCTGTTTGCCCATGTGTTTAGATTTGGGTGCACGTTAAAGTACCCCAGTGGTCGGAATTTCCGAGGCCCTCCCCTACGGCGTCTCTAATGATCATATGATGGCTTTTGGACGTTAAACCCCACATAAAATCAAAGGCTAAGCGCAGATAAAATATAGTTCATTCCTCAATACTTCTTTTCTGCATCATTTTATTGTAAATGCTCTAGTTGTTGAAATTTGGCCATTGGCAAAGAGACTGTTGTTGGTGACCATTTTTTTAGAGTTTGACCATTTAATACTACCAGCAAGAGTCATGCCCGCAATAATAGGCGTAGCAATTCATCTTCAAATAAAAGAAAATGCCGACAACGGAAAGAATCACCATCACAAACACTTTTTGGCTTCCGACACAATGTTCCCAGAAAGGAAACTAAATCTGAAACATGTTCACCCCCACCCTGTCGTAAAGGTTCAGATCTGTGTGCCACCTGGGCAGCCCGCCCAGTAGGGTTGTTAAAGCTAGGAAAACCCACAAATATTTTGACGTTAAAGTAGCGCCAGTGTAGTTCATGTCCACGTCTTGATATCGTTCTAAAGCATGCGCTAATGTCTTTTTTGTGTAGAACTTTGGTTCTGAAAGCTGCACTCAATGGAGATTCAGTCAGCGTGAAACTTGCGAAAGTGCGTAGCACAGGCAAATGAGCGATTCCTTTTGTGATCGCGCTCTTTCCAAGGAAGTGGCACCCTCTTTTACTTGGCGCTGGAATCGACCGAACATTTCAGAAGGATTCTTCGCCCTCTTAGGTGAATTATTGCGAATAATTGTTGATCATTTTTGAAGTATAAATAATATAAACCTTGTTAGATTATCTCACGGGCTGTGAGCAACGTTACCCAACTTGCGGGCCTGCCTTGACCACTGCGTGACCATGCGGCATTAAACTGTTCATAATTGGAAATGTGGGCCCTTGGAGTGCTACTCGCCTAAGACTAAGAGGTCGTTCAGCCATGGAGCTGTCTTCTTGCGGGCACTTGTTTCTATCGTTGAACTCGCTGCGGCGAGAACCATTTCTCCCAGCTTAATCTTGAGCTAATTCCACAGAAAAACGGGCATAAACCGGTTCCTCATGCGTCGGGCTTCGGCACTAGCTCGAATGTCGCGCGGATTAGGCGCCCCCGCGGCACACATTTCGACGTAGAAACTGAGAACTCTCGATAATGTCAAAAATAAGCTGCGTGAGCGAGATTTTCCAGGAGTAGTACACAAAGGTTTTTGCACAGACTGCGAAAATGCATATATCAGTGAGACAGGCAATCTCGTCCGCCGCGATGATGTAATGATCACGGTGCTCGGCTCCTGACCCTGAGTGCATGAGTTCGATCTCGGCCGATATCTTACTAGTGCACGCGAAGTGCTGCAGGGCTGCAGACCCGTGTGGTATGTTATGTGAGTGCACGTTAGAAAAATTAGGTGCTCGAAATTACCGGAGACCTACGGCATCGCTTAATATCATATCGTAGCTTTCAGACGTTAAATGGGTCCTGAAACACTTTTTTAAGTAACCATGGAATGAATTTACTGCAAGAGCTTCTTTCCTGAAGAATTCAACGCCGCAAAATTTTTAAAAATGCGTCCAGTGCGAGTGGAGTTACAAAGGTTTGTCGCAAGCTGCAATTACATTCTGCTTTCTCTCACCCCGACGAAAGCTCTGGAAGCTAAGCAGAGAAGGATGGAAGGGCCACGAAAAAACGTCACACGTACCTCGTGACTTTAAGCACTTTTTCTTTTTTTTCTCAAATGCGCGGCTTTCTCAGTGTGATCGCGCGTGCACACGTGGACAAGTAGCGGCTTCCCGCGGCAATCTCTTTAACAAGCGAGCGCGTCATTTTCAAATCAGCCAATGGCTGATTTATGGGCAAGCTACGTCTAATTTCGGGAGATATTCCGTGATTTATCAAGAGAAGAGAAAGCAATTTTTAGCTGGTTTTGATAATTTATTGTGAATTCCAGGACACATTTTGCGCTATAATATTTGGCTCTATTGTTGTAGGAAGCTTATACTACTGATCGGCAGTGCTTTCTGACCATGCTCAAAAACTGATGCAGGGCACCTTTAAACCCCAACAAATATTAGGCATGGAATTTCAAAACAGCCTCACACAATGTTTAGTAACGTAAACCACGATAAAAATGCTTCTA